AAATGTTTAAGGCCCATCTGAGAAGGCCCAATTCCTGCGTACATATATAAGGCAATTTGTAACCCTAACCTTATCCTTTCCATTCGTTCCCAATCCCCTCACCCCAGCTGCCGCTGCCGCTCCCTATCGTGAGTCGCGACTCGCAGAGACGCAGACCCGGCATCACGACCACTCCACCTCCAGCAGCCGACCACTTGCAGTCATCGAAGATGGGAAAGAGGACCAGACGCTCACCAGAGATGGGTGCTGGCTAGATTGTAGCTGCTTCTCACAGTCGCGCTCGCACCTCTCCAGCAGCTCACCATTGGATCCACACCACCAGGGTCGCACCGCCTATAGGGCATCATGGGAGACGCACCTGCATAGCCTTCACCACTGGCCACCATGGCTTCACCCTCCCCACCTCCATTCTCGTACGGTGATGAAGTAAGGTGAGAAACTAAGACTCCATGTAGCCTGCACTTTGCACAAGCGTGTCTTAGTCCTCCCTTGAGATTTTGCCTATGGGGCATAGGCGGCGTATGGGCTATGGCTACGTGCCTGCGTCATTCTTGTTCACTCACTAACCCACGTCCGGCGGTCCTCACAAAGGGACGCCATGGATTTGGATCGGCCACCAAATGCTATGTCGGCTACTAGATCCGCCGTGTTGGTGCCTGTTGCAGCCATTGTCGCTTCTACAAAGGGACGACCTCCAAAGCTTCAAATGAAAAAGTCCACAACCAAGATGCCAAAAGCCGTCTTGCAATTGAAGGAGCTCCTGCTCCGACCATTCTAGAAGCATCAATCGATGGTGGCCTCCGGCTACTAAAATCCATGGGGTCGGTTTTAATCTCGCTAACCTTCTTCTCTTATTAGCTTGTTTATATTAACATTTTTGCATGTGTAAACTATATTCCATGGTTATGATTTATGAATGAATGAAGCTAAAATCCATGGTTCTGAATCCTTTAGTTAAAACTTCAGATTATTATTGAATGTATGTATGTGTAACGATTTACATAGTATGCTACAATGTTCATATTTATATTCTATGCTCTGAGCTTCAGATTATTGCAGCATGTTTTTGTGCATTTTATTTATGTTTGCATATTTCATATATAGTCGTAGATTTCATTCATATTTATTTGTTAATTGACAGATTTACTAATTCAACTCAAGGCAACAGGAGTAGCAGCCAACAAGATTCACATTCACTTCCACCACAAACTGAATCTGTTAATGATTCTGAGCTAATACAAATTGATGATGATGAGCCCGAAGACATACCGTTACTCACAATAGGTGATTATTATAATTACTCTCATGATAAAAATGAAGAAAGGAAAATAGAGATCGGACAGGGATATGGTATGGGTATTGGTGGGTGTAATGAGTTGTGTCCCATGGCCACGGGGCTTAGCTTGGTTACACTATTTTCCCTATTCATGTCGATTGAGGACCGTCCGTTGCTGTGGATGGTAGTCAGGTCACAGACTTATTATCCTGAGCACATACTTACTTGAATATGAAAGATAGTAAATTAGTTCTGATTGCTCAACCCTTGCTTGAAAGTAGAACAGGTGCTTACCTAAAATGGTTAGCAAATGAAGTAATCATGACTGCTAATTAAACCTGATCTTAAGGACGTACTTCTAGTAATGCTTTTCGTAAACAAAAAGAAAACAGCAAACTCATATTGCCTATCATACCCCTTGGTGTCGAGAAACTATTCTTACTAGTCGGGTAAGTCTTGTGAGTACATTGTGTACTCAGGGTTTATTTTACCCTGTTGCAGGTGCAGCTTGAGGAGTTAGCTCTTATGTGGAGGATTCTTCTGGTGGGCACAGATGGATCCTTGTATCATTTCCGCTAGATATTTATTTTCATTTCGTTGTTTAATTATCGCACTCTGAACCCTGGTATTGTAATAAATAATTTCCAAGAACTTTTGTTGTATGAAATGGACTAAGTATTGTAAGCTTGTACTCATTATTGGATTCTGGATGTAAAATGTGGATTGTTTCGAGTTCTCCCTTAGGGTGTGCTCGATGGAACTATACGAAGTAGCTAACTTTTAGGGTGCTTAGTGTCTAGTGGAAGATAAGCACCTCCGAAAGCGTGTTATTTTGGGTGGTTCTACCACATGCCTACAGTCATTTTTCCACACTGTTTCGCGTGCTTACGCCTGCGCCGCCCGAACGTCACCAGCGTGGAGAAGTTAGGGAGGAAGCGACAGATGCCCAGCTGGCGCGGGAGGAGGAGACACCGAGGCGAGGCAGCAAAAGGCGATGAGTGAGATGCAACACCCGATCTACTTTTGAAACATTCAGATGCAATACTTGCAGCATACGTGCAGATAAAACACTTGAAACATGCATCTGAAACACTTGCAAAAACACCTGAATAGCACTTGAAACCATTGCAAAAAATATACGCAACATCTAGATAAAACACTTGCAAACATGTGTGTGAAACATATGCAACATCCAGATAAGCACACTTGCAACATACGTCTGGAAAAAATAGATGAGACATTGAGAACAAATACTTGCAACATACGTTTACCACTATTGCAACATATGCATACATCTCCATCTACTTTTGCAACATCCATATAAACCACTTGCAACATACCTCTGAAACATCTGAAACACTTGAAATAGATGTTTGCAACATGCACTTTTAAGCGCAACATCTACTTGCTGCTTGAACGAAAATGGATGCTCATCGACGCGGGAGCTCGACGCCGGTGTGGAGCTCGATGCTATTGAGTGGCACAGAGGTCACCGATATGGAGATCTTCGGCAGCCTGAGCCTTGGGCAGGGGCTGCTGCAGGTGGATGGAGCGCGGTTGCAACGGGAGGCGCGAGTCTAGACGGGGCACATGACGCGGGAGCACGGCGAGGGCGTCGTGGCGCGGCGCGGGGGCGGGGTCCGTCCCACGAGTAGGAGTGCGCAACGTGCAGAACGGGCAGGCGACGTCGACCGTGGCAATGCAGCGGGGGCCTATCAGGAGCATTACTGTTAGAGCATCTCCAAGAATATCTCATTTTTCCTCCCCAAATCATATAGTTTTGCAACTCCCCAAAAGCTATTGGGAGCAAAAAAAAGAAGACCATCTCCAAGAGTTTCCAATAAATGGCTTCCAAAAATTAAATTTGGGTCCCACATCAATTTTTGCTCGGCCTTTTTTTCTCGCAGGAATTCAACAGGGTCGCGAGCCCTTTCTAACGCCGCGACCTGCCTACCTGCCGCCGCCGTCGCCAACTCCTAGCCGCCGCCACCTCCCCATTCGACGGAACAAGGTGAGTCTCCCTCATCTGCTAGGTGCTGGCACTCGCATCGTCCTCCTCCCCTCTTCCTCTCCCACTGCCTCCAAGCTAACCCTATCTGGAGGAGAAAAACAAATCAAATCTCGCTGCGAGCCGGGAGCCCAGGAGGCCAGTGCGAGCAATGGCGAGCAACAAGGCATCAGCCGACGCCGGCGGCAGCGGCGATTACGAGAGCGGTAGCGACCACGACGGCGCGCTGTAGAAGCCACTACTGCCCAACAGTGTGAGCGGGTACCGGATGGGGATGGGGTTGCGCCAGTCCTCGGCGTTCGGCTCGCTGCCCAACGTGGGCGCCATGGTCGGGGCGAGGAGACGACGCGGGAAGGACGAGACGGCGCGGGGAATTGCCAGGATACGCGGACTATGGTGCACGCATTTTTACGCACGATGGAGGCCGGTTTCCCAAGTGCCAAAAGATGGGGAAGGGATATGGGTACTATTGGAGATGAGTTTTTCACTTTTAAAAAAAACATGGATGGGGAAGAGATATGGAGCATTTTTAGAGATGCTCTTATAGAATGCCCCACATATTCAGAATCCTTCACAATTAAAAATGGTCACAAGAAGCAATTAAATTGATTTAGGTTCGAACTTCTTTTAGTTTCTTTATTATATTTTTCACCCAAAACAGATGCTAATTAGATAAATCATATGCTAACGTGCCAACCATGCCCTCCTTTGAATAAAAAAAAATAAGTTTTTGTATTTTGTGTGCTCACCACGCCAGTCACCACTCACCAGTAGTGATAGTAGTAGACTAGTATCCTTCTTTTCCAGCAACAAATACATTTGAGTTTTGTTGGCAACATTTGCGAGAAGGAAATTCTGCGAGGCTGCATGTCGTGGCCCACTCTGCAACTGATGACGGTCTCCCAACAATCAACACGCTGGGCTGAAGCCGAGTTTCCTGTGTCCCCCCCCCCCGCCACACACACAAACACACCGAGAAAATTGAATATTTGACACCTAATCTGGACATCTGTGAACATTTGACATTCAATTCGCGTGTTGTTGAAAATTTGACACTCTGGATGCGAATTCGTTGAAAACAGGTGTTTTCTCCTCTTTTCTCCATTTAACATTTTTTTCTTTTTTCTTTTGCTTTCCGAGGCAACGTTGAATGACCAAATACCTTGCCTGCTGTTGCTCGACCATTGCGGCGCCTCTGGCCTACGCCGACGGCCTCCATCAGCGACGGAGCCGAAGACGGCGGGCTTTGGCTAGCGTCGGCGCGCCAAAGAAACAGAATCGTCGCGTGCAGCACGCATATGGCTCTCGGCTCCAAAGATTAAATGACCAAGCCCGGCCCCACTGCCTGGCCACCAGGCTTAGCGGCCGGCCGGTGCGGTGCCTCTTCCGCACCCAAGAACATGGCGGCGTGAAGAACAAAGAAGAGCGGCGGCGGCGTGACGAACAGAGCCGAAGAAAAATGAGTACAGGAGAGAGAGATGCGTTCGTTTCTAAAAGAAATGAATGGATAAGGCCAAGGTACGTTGCCTTGGAAAGTAAAAGAAAAAAAGAAAGAATATTAAATGGAGAAAAGGAAGAAAAACACGTGTTTTCGACGAATTCGCAGCCAGATTATTAAGATTCAACTACCCGTGAATTAGATGTCAAATGTTCACGAGCGTCCGGATTGGGCTGCCGCCGCCGCCGCCGGAGTGTGTCATCACCGATTCGCCTGGTATGGCGGCGCCGCCCGGGGGAGCGGGGATCGTGTGGCAGACGCCGGCCAACCCGCCCGAGCCGCACGACTACATCATCCGCAACGGCAAGTAACCGCAGCCTCCTCTCGTCTCCTCTCCTTTCCTGGAACCGCGCCGCACGCTAGTTCCCAGCACTAAAACCCTAAACCCCTCCTGTGCTGACGATGGTGGGCTCCCTCTGAAGGTCGGCGCTACGTGAGGCCTTACTACTTCGAGTTCATCTCCCATGTAATTTCCGGACCGCTTGTTCCTGTACCTTATTTCTCTCTTGTGCTATTCTTTGGCTTCCTGTTCGACTCCAGATAGATTATCATGCTTATTATGTGAGGATACAGATTGAGTTCATCAGGTGTTGTAGATACAGATTGAAGTTCATCAGGTGTTGTAGTTGTAGATACGCTCTCCAACTGAAATAATGGCGCTAGATGATTGGTCATACTATCACACACATGCAATTTCTGAAGTTTCATCACAGTGCTTTGCTTAACCTGTCACATGAGGGTAAATCCTCTCTGTTCACTGTTGCTGTGCCATGCCAGTTTGGTTTGCTTTGCTCAACTATGGATAAGAAGATGCATTACATTCTCCGTGGATCTAAGCATTTTGTAAAATTTCTTGTTCATTCCTCATTTGGTCTGCAGGTGAAGAACAGATGGGCTGGAAAGACCATTGTTGACCTCTTCACTGATGAGTTCAAAGGGCGCTCCCGCGATTACTATGTATGATGCCATTATTTCCTTTGAATTTCATGTACCATACTGTTTCTTTTCATCACACGTCATTATGGTTATATTATATCATTGTCTGCCCTCCAGTCCTACTTGTAGAGAACTAGAGATATGTCCATAAGAGGCTTGCTACTGAATGGAGTTTCTGTTGTTTCTTGAATCTCATCATCTTGAACCATGCATCTTCCTTTCATGATTTAAACCTTGTGCTTCAGATTTTGATCTATGTTTTATTCATATAACTACAGTAACATTTGCATCGCTGCATCTAAGTGAAAGGTGAAATTACTAGGTTCATGCAGTGAAGTGCGGGAGGCTTCAGGTTGATGGGCAAATGGTTCACACAGACTATATCGTGAAATCATCACAAAAGATAAGCCACTTCTTGCACAGGTCAGTCACTTCGATCAATTTTGAAATTATTACCCCCACTAAACAAATGTTCGATAATTTCGCTTCATAAATTCAACATAGATTGCTTCATACAAACAAATGTTCCAAAGATTAGGAGCAGCATAACTGTTTACAATTTACTGCAGATACATTATCCTTTACATGCTTATATATCATAAAAATGGCAAGTGAATTGACAGGTAACTAACAGATGTTTTGGTTAATGTCTCAGTTTATTCTTTCTATTGGGATTATTTTTAGCTAATAAACCATAATATAAATAAAATGTTAGTTGTACTGATGAACTGTTGTTGATTCCTTGACTTTTAAGTAGATGCCATTTAGTTTAACTTTGTGTGGCATTTTACCTTCATGTAGTTCTCTAGTCAACCAGATGCTTACTATGGCATGCCAGGAAAGCAGGAACCTAGACTCTGTGTTCTGATTTAACAAAAATAATTCGCATGTCTTTTTCTCATTTACAATTTTTTAGTTCAAGGCTTTTCTAAAGGTGATTTTTTCTTCCAGGCACGAGCCACCTGTCTTGGCGGGTGATATTTCAATACTTCAGAATGAAGTTGATGTCGTAACTATTTGCAAACCAGCTTCTGTTCCAGTAAGTTTATATTCATACTAATGTACATGAAAGTTGTTATACTAGCATACTACATGATGTATAAAATATTTATAGATCTGGTCTTATTATTACGACAATCCTATGTTCTTCAAATTGTTTCCTTTTTAAGTCTAGAGAATTTCCTGCATTACTTATTGTTATCGTTACTAATCAAGTGTATTTGTCAACATGTCACATGTTTATTAAATATGTCACCTGAACTAAAATGCATTAGGTTTTGTAGCAACACAAATTATATGTGCTAGTAAATAGTGAATACAGTACTCTTAAAGTTGTATCTGATGGGGCTTTTTTTGGCCATTTTACTGGTAGAATCTTAGATTTTTTTTCTAGTAATTTGTTATATGATCTGATGATGCCTGAGTTATCAAGTAATCATGAAGGATTCTCCTGGATGAAAGTAAATTAAGTTTGTTTGAACATGAAATCAAATCTTGATTTTAGAAGTTACTACGGGAAAACTAGAATTCCTAGGTGGAATCAGTATCATTATTCTCTGATGAAAATAGCCTCCCAAATGCTAACCAAAGAGGACATAAACTTAGGTGGTGTGTACACACATGCCTTCTGCTAACTGAGCTAGGTTTAGTACCTCCAGAAATACTTAATTGCTAATTAGTGTATGTTTGGTTGAAGTCAGAACGTTATATACATAAATCTAGTGGTTCCCATTTTGTAGGTTCATCCATGTGGCCAATACCGCAAGAATACTGTAGTTGGGATTCTGCAGGCTGAGCATGGGTTAACACCCCTATTTCGTATCCTTTTGCTTTAATTATCTGATTTTTTTGTCTTTTTCTTATGATTTCTACCATTCATCATAGATGTTAGAATTCCTTTTTTTGAACGGGAATGTTAGAATTCCTTGACTACCATTTTATTTTTGCAGCGGTGCATCGGTTAGATCGTTTGGTTTCAGGCCTCCTTATATTTGCAAAAAATGCCTACAGAGCTGAATGTTTCAGGCAACAGGTAATATTAGAGACCATGTCAGTATTCTCCTTTTTATCATATTGCTTATTATGTATGTCTGCACTCTAGCATGTGATTGTGTCCACTGTATGGAATAGAGCCGGTTGCAGTGAATGGGAACAGCTCGATGGGAAGGCGAGGTTGTTCACTTAGCCACCCTGGAGCTAGGAATGCTAGATAATAGATTGAAGAGATTAAATGTTTCTTTCTTGATCTCTCAGACAAGGGCACAAGGCACTCACCTAGAGGGCGCCAATTACAATCCATTCAAGCTAACTGACTTGCTAAACAACTGATTTCTCATTTCTTGTATAAACAAACCATACCTGAGCCTGACAACCAAACTGAGCTAACTTGAAAGCAAAACAAGTGATGCTGATGGAGCCTATCATTTAGGGGCCATCACAGTAGGTCGAGGTTCACCGAGGATACTGCAGAAGCTGGCTGTCCAGTCCGCTTGACCAAGAGCTGGTGAACACTGACAGAGATGCGCTTGACCGTGTTCTAGCACAATAGCACTGGGATGATAACAACATAGTGTAGAGGCAGCAGTAGCAGCGGAGTAGCTGGAGGCAGACAGAAGAACTTCTGGACGGCTCACATGGAACATGTCATGGATGTGTGCCCCTAGCGAACTCTCCAAGCGACATGCCACCGACTTCACTTGGGCTATGATCTTGTACGTCACAAAGAAACGTGGTCACAGCTTGTTGGTGGAGTTGATCATTGAAGCCGAGGTGTGGTGACAGGCTGACAGCCTGACCGGTAACATAAGCGCAATCTGATCTAGTCTCTAAACAACAAACTCCACGTTGTCATGAACAGATGAACACGGTCGTAGTTCTTGTTGATTTGCTGAGCCTGCTACAGGTGGTGATGCACATGTGCCAGGAATTTGTCGTGGTCCTCTAGGGATTGAGCCAGTCTCAACCTGAACATAACCTAGTTCATAAGAATGGATTGATGCTGGGTCGTGACTATAGACAAGTGGGAATGGGTCTCTTGTAGCACCATGTGGTATGAAGTGTTGTAGAAGAGTTCCGCCCATGGCACCCAGCACACCCAGTTTCGTGTCCGATCCCCAATCATACAACGAAGATACATAGCAATGATTTTGTTAACCACCCTAGAACTAGGAACAACAGATAAGAGATTGAAACAAATTGAATGTTCTGGCTTGATCTCCTAGATTAAGGGCTCCTGATATAGAGAGTGCCCTGTTACAATACATTTAAGCTAACCAACTCACTAACAAATCAGGTTCTTATATAAACAAACCAAACCTGAGCCTAACGATGAAGCCAGCTAGAAAGAAAAGCAAATAGCGCTGAAGGAGCATATTGCCTAAGGGGCTGTTGTGGTATTCTTCATGCGATGATGTTCCTAAATGCAGCTCCACATGACACTGTCTGTCTGCATTCATCTTATGATTTGCTTGTTGACGTATTTTATCCTTTTACACATTACACATTTTTTCTAATTTAAGCACTGTTATCGCAGATTGAAGCTGGTCTGCTGCAAAAAGAATATGTGGCCAAGGTTGTTGGGGTTTTTCCTGATGGTGAGGTATACCGTTTATGTAATGCCGACATTTCTCCGGCCCAAAGGATAAATAGCTATTCTGTTGTGAAAATAAATAGTACAGGAAATCTGTAACGTGTCAGATCTTTACTTTAATTTACTTTCTACTTATGCCCTACGTCTTAGATGCCAAGTTGTCTTATGTTGCATAAGGTTTCTTTTTTCTGAAAAACATTGAGATCCAACTAAGTTTACGAGCTGTATATTTTGTATTAAATTACTGTATGATCCAGCCAAAAAAAAAAAAGTTCAAGGTGACGCCTATGTGTGGGCATGCACATACAACTAACTAGAACTACTGATGGTTCAGACTTGGACACACTGATTTGAAAGGCATCCACTTAGCCTGACTAGGAACCACCTGCACGCCTAATTGACAATTAGAGGCATGTTCGATACCGTCACTGAATCTTCTTTAGGAACTTTGTAAAAAGAATCTGCTTTGAGAACCATAATAGATTGCTGGAAAGTTCTTGCTAGTGTTCTAAGCATTTCAAATATATTTGTTTCGCATACATAAGCGCTAATGTATATCTATCTGAACGAGTTTCTTTTCAGCAAACTGTCGATGCCAATGTAAATTTCAATGCACGGGAAGGAAGGAGTACCGTGGAGGTCTGTTAGCAATTAATAATCTTGTTGTGCATGTTTTTGTTTGGCAATATGTTGGAGCAATTGCTGAATCTCTCTTTCCCTCCCTCCTTTCAAACAAAGCATATTGCTGTCAGTGCAATTCTAGGCTGGTACATATTGCTTTGTAGATGTTAACAATGTCTATAATTTATCAGATAATTTGTACCATATTTAATGTTGCTTCATTAAAACCTTGTATGTTCTAAGTCAGGAATATAAAATAAGAAAGAAATTTCATATTATCCCTGTAGAGATATCATTTTCTTTTGTTTTTCCCAAATAGCAGGTCAAACAACATACCACTATTTACTTATGCAAACCACATGCAAGATTTGATAGAACTATGTGTGCACTTAGCTAAAGAAATACTGTTCTGAAGCACGAATCTGAGTACAATTTCTGAAATTCAGATTAGTGGTGGTGCTGGTGAAGAACCAAATGGAAAACAAGCACTCACCAGGTTTCAAAGGATTTGCACTGATGGGACACACAGTATTGTCTTGTGCAAACCTGTGACTGGTCGAACTCACCAGGTATTTTCTCTGAATTGTGTTCATTGCAATGCATTTGAGTATACTAGTGGTCAGATGCATTTTACAGTGGAACAAAAAACAACATGATAACTTGCCACTCAGTCTAGATTTAAGAAATTAATAGTTTAAGAAATTAATAGATATGGTGCATGACCTGTGTCCCCAGTCCACACATATTAAATTTCATGGTCAAATCAATATGCAGATATGCACCTTGCCTCTACAGTAGATGAAATAAATATGCATATATCATGGATTTGTGTCCTTTTGGTGAATTTTGGAACAGTTCATCATAGTTCAGGGATAGGGATGGTCCCATTGCGGCACCAGAGTTGCATTTTGAGAAGGAATTCCCAAGTTTGAATTGTTAAAACCATGTGAAGTATTTTTTTTTCATGCTCCCAGCTCCAACAATCATGCACAAATGCTTATTTTCTCAATCGTAAAGGCTATATCTTGGGAACTTGGTATTGCCTATCACTAGTCATTGTAGACATATTTACCCTTCCAGTAAAACATGAATAATGCATAGTTTTCACATACTATCTAAAACACAAGCCTTCATCCATTTTCTACCAATTGTTATAGAGGCATTTACCTGTATACCATTATAAAAGATTGTAATTACCTGCAAGCCACTAAAAAGTTTGTGCGGTCACATGTGCCACTAACCGAAACTTTTTTGTCGCCCACGCCGTTCCGTCCATCTTCTGTCTAATTTTCATCGTTTAGCTACCCTGACATGTGGGCCCAGTCAGTAATGATGTTCAAAATGCCCCTCTCCCTCCGTACCTTATCCTCTCCTTCCTCTTCTCCTTCACCCGATCCACCTAGCCGCCCGTAGCATCCTCTCGCGCCATCCTCCGCTCGGCGGGGCCACGTCCCTGCCCCGTGCTAGCCCACCCCGACCGCCTCCTCCCGCGCCGCCCTCCGCCGACTGCTTCTCGCCGGGCCACGCTGCTGCCCCGCCGTCGCTTGTTTGCGCCGCGGCCCTGCTCGCTCTGGTCATCGTCTGCTGGAGCCGCCGCCGCCTGCTTGAGTCACGCCTCTGCTCGCTCATGCCATCGTTTCTATTGCGGGCGCGTCCTTCTTCAACAGACGCAACGGCAGGGGATCGGGCTCGGCTTGCCAAATCCCGGCCGGTGGCGGCCAGCGGTCGCGGGGGCGAGGCCGCTGCGGCGGCGCGACAGTAGGCCGCACCCGTGAGGGGCCTCAGCTCGCGCTGCGACGGCCGAGGCCTCCTGGCCACGCGAGCCTGTGGCACGGCGGTGAGCAGACCAGTGCCGGCCCGGGGTGTTTCGGCGTCGGTGGCGAACAGGAACGGAGAGCGGCGCACGAGCGGGGAGATGGGGAAGGCGAGGGAGCAGCCAGTTAGGGTGGAGGAGGCTTGGAGGAGCGAGCTCTTGGTGGTGCCCTGGCTGTGGCCGGTGGCGGCGTTCGTTGGCCCCTGACGCCACCCAGCTCGGTGAGCTTGCGCCGGGCGTGGAGGACGACGCGGCGGACGCGACAATGAGGCTGGTTTACGCTGCATACGAGAAGATACTCAAGATCAAGAAAGCGAAGGAGAGGCGGAATCAAGTGCTGGTGGTGGTGGTGGCGTGTGGTATTGCAAGGCAGCGTCGAGCCATTGTGGACGGGCTAAGGGACAAGTGTGCTCGCCTTCTCAAAGAAGGTTCGAGCACCACAACCAAGGACATCATGGACATGGTCCTGGTCACCCGAAGAGTCCGAAGATGCCGACACCATGAAGGAGATTGGGGCCTCCTCCAAGTCCTCTTCAATGTTCATCCCCATGGTCCTGGAGTCATCAAGGATGTAGCGGCCTTGAGATAAGAGATGGCCTCCTGCGCAGCTAATCTGCGATGAGAGGATCATCGAGAAAAAAGGATTGATTACGATTAGCAAAGCGATCACCGAGGGCATCGGTCCTATGGTGCTATAAAATTGCTAATATAAAGCAAAACTTGCTTGGTTTGTAAAAGCATAGTAGGCTTTACTGTACTTGTGAGTGAACCTGGGTATCCAAACCCGTCTGCTATTTGGTGATCTTCTATGCTGTATGTGGATAATCCTTTGGGTCAGACGCCCGAGTAGGCATCTTGAAATCTCATTTGCGGCATATTTCACTTTGATTCGGTCTGGGCCGCTACAACAAAGTTGTCATTCCCCCTAAGCTCTACGACTTTTATTAAGGGGTCAGGGTCATTTGCGCTTCAGATTAGCGGCTAATTAAGCCCTAAGTTGACACTGTCAGACGAATGCCAAAGCCACAGGACTAGGGAGTGGCACGGGAGGAAAACACAACTTTCAGCAAGGTACTCTAGCCAGAAGGCAGTTTTGACTTTTCGCAACTCCATTTGACACCGTTAGTAGCAGATGTCGACAGAATGGCGTGGACGACAAAAAAGTTTCGAGCAGTGGCATCTATATGACCGCTCGAACTTTTTAGTGGCTTATAGGCAATTGCAATCTTTTATAATGGCATACAGGTAAAAGCCTCATTGTTATAGGCACTAGAACGGTAGAACCATGAAATGGCTCCTATCGTGTTGACTCATAGTCCTCATTTAAGCTATAGCTTCATGCCCAATGTATTGCAGTATTGCTTAATTCACCGACGTGCACCAGTTTGCCTTTTTTTTCCTTTTCTTTTTGCAAGGGATGATGCCATGATGGTCTTGGTACTAATCTGGCTACTGAATTCTTTTTTCTTTAAAATTGTGTTTTCTTATGCTTTGCATGTAACTATTTATGCTGATATATTTGTATCGTTTGCATAATGCCCTGATATGTTTGAAATGTAGATAAGGGTGCATCTAAAGCACGCTAGTTATCCAATAGCTAATGATGAGCTGTACCTATCGGGGAACTTTTGTCCACGATCAACAAAAGGAACAAGTGCCAGTAAAGAAATTGCACCATCAGATCCAGGCAATAGTGCTGTTGATCATGGCAGCAAAGATGCAGAAACAGATGTGGAGTTTGATATCGACCCCATGTGCACAAACTGTCCAAATCTTGCACCAGCAGGGTGAGTGCTTACTGTTGCTTAACAATTTTTTTTTGTTAGTACTTGATGTTTAGGGTTGCCAATAAAGAGTTTGATTAGAGAACAAATTTTTCCAAGAAGTGCTTTATGGTAGGATGTTAGATTGTGTATTCTTTGTTGAAATGCTTTTCTGTTGGGCAGTTATGATGGAGATGAGGAAGGACTATGGTTGCATTGTGTGCGGTACACTGGTCCTGATTGGAGCTACGAATGCCCTTATCCTGACTGGGCGTTCCTTGGTAGCGTGTCAACAAAGAAGATGAAGTCATGATGTAGTTCATGGTGAGTTGTGAGCCCATCAAACTGAACAATCGAATAGTATTGTTTTGGCGTGCCCTATGATTGGGGTTCCGAGGTTTTCATTCAAAATCAAACACACCAAGTCCGGTTTTCCTCCCGGGCTTCTCATTCAGCCAATCCACGGTTCAGACCTTAATCCACTCCTTAAAATTCAACATACAATAGCGCTCCCACCTTTGATTGGTTCCATGTCTACGGCGTTCCTGTGTTGTGACGTCCCTGCTTTGAAAAAAAAAATATATTGGAATTTAAATACCATTGTGTGAGTGAAGTGATACCACAGACAGAACAGACGTTGGAAGTTCTGAACTTGAATGTGACCAAGCTGCAGGATGTATTTGCTAGCATCCGAGGTGAAGACAATTGCACAATCTAAGCTACAGCCAAAACAGATGAGCCGACAGGGTGGGTCCTTGGCTTCTTGCATGCATATTACATTATTACAAGAGTAGACAGAATTCCCTCCGTTCCAAACTATACATGTTTTGACTTTTATAGATGCATTGTTTTGCTATGTATTTAGAGTTTTAGACATGCACTATCTAAGTGCATATTAAAAGCTAGTATAAATCTAGAAAAGTCAAAACATCTTATAATTTAAAATAGATGGAGTAACATGGAACATAACACTGCTGGTGGCAATCATTAAAAAAAAGGGTCTCGAAAATCTAATCGTTTTTAAGCTAACTGCCGCCCGAGTTAGGTACCGAAATGAAAAATCTGAAGCAGAAAACTTACACCCCTCTTTCACAATATTTATTCACAGCACATATAGGTTCTGACCAATGAAGTATTAGTTCAAGTAAAATTATAAAAATGAATGTGAAATAACCGTTCATGACATATTAAAAAAAAGAGTTGTGTTATCCCAATCTTTAAACTCATAAATCGTCCATTTAGATCCTTAAACTTGTATGTTTGAGGACCTATAGTAGCACGGCGTGGCGCGGCTAATAGCCTATAATGCCGTGCCTGGGCCAGGATGCCGGCACGTGGCGGCATGACACAATCTCTCCTGGGCCATTGGGCCGTGCCAGTGCAGCGCAGTGCCGTGCCGTGCCTGGGCGGTCCGTTTGGCCATGTATACGGCCATGGCGTGGTGTGGATGAGTGGAGTTGCTCAAGCTCTAGGAAGAGGCATGACAGCCTGCTTTGGGTGCTCCACTCCAAATCCTAACACAATCTCTCCAGCGCGCGGACGTTTTGGTCCGTGAGGTGTGAGGGAGAGGATAAGGGGGAGGGGAACCTGACAGGTGGGCCCTGGCTGAGTCAACTTGTTGATTGGGCATGGACGTCCTATGTGGTAGTCAAAACCAGGTCAAAGGAGTGGCATGGCCATTTATGCCCAGCTTTCAAAGTTAAGCGGTCAAAGATTCCTTGTTTTGGAGTTGAGTAGTCAATCATGCATGGACTAGAGTGATAGTTCGACAGCCAAAAATAGACTTTTTCCTAGAAAATATCCAAACATATCTAAAAGTTTCAGGAAAAAACCTTAGAGGTTGATTGGTATTATAAGGAACTAAAAAGTTTTAGAAGCTTCAAATAAACTAGTAATAATAAAATTAAAAAGTGAAAGGACAAGTTTAGAAGCTTTAAACAAGCGATAAAATAGAAAAGAAATATGAAAGGGCTACAAAAATTTACAACCTCGATTCCAAATGTAAGTAGTTTATTTTATGATTATGTCAAACTTTTTTTATCTTGGTCAATTAGTATATGAAAAGTTACATAGATTTGCAACACATGCTTTGATTTTACTAAATTCATGTTGAAAATATTTTCACATTGTATAATTGTCACTATTTTACAAAATTATCAGTCAAAGTGTCACGTTGGAGACTAGGACCCCTGTCCTAATTGGAGTTATGTTTGAATCGGAGAGTATACTAAGGCCCTGTTCGCTTCCCTGAAAAAACAAGCCGAAACAATGTTCCGGTTGATTTATTGTGAGAGAAAAACACTGTTCCGGCTAAAAAAACAAGCTAAAAAGTACGGATTACAAGAGAAGCTAACAGGGTTTAAATTAACCAGGGTAAATATAGGTCCGTGCCATGCAAGGTCGGGGAAGGTAAATATGAAGTGAATATTGATGGAAGGACATGGCCTCAAGAGCCTAACTGCAAAAAGAATCTGCCTCCTCAAGGGCTTCTAAAAATATTGGTCTAGAGAATCTGCCTCCTAAAATAATCCTTTTACAGTGCCCGTACCCATTCCGCAACCCCACACACAATAAAAAAAACGACTATATATAAATCATCTAAAAAAACGACTATAAATGCAAGAGCCTCTAGTACTAAATCGATAGTAAAAAAGTCATCTCCAGAGGTCGTTGCTGTGATCTTAAGTTCTTAACCCGGATTTGGACATGATTCACCTGAGAGTAACGAGGTGCATGAGACCAGGCAGCTTTAGTACTACCCATTTGTGTCGAGGCAAAAGCACTCGGACATGCATGTAGAAAATAAAAGTGCCCTAGAAAACACAAAGCGAGCACGCAAAGAGTGAAGCAAATACAACAAAAAAATATAAATAAAACAAGTGAGAAAAGGAAAATCCGTGGAAGATACGTATGGCCGCCCATGGGAAAGCTCGTGAGGGACGCATCAGATCACCTGCATGCATGCACTGCCCGGACGCACGTCGTCGTCCATCTGATCCTCTCCTCGGCTGGGTGCTCCGCCCTTTGCTTACTGCGACGCATGCAATTAACTTGGCACGGTGCTCGTACAGGTCCCATGTTACCCACTCACAACTCACAAGCCTGCTTTTTTCTCATGCGCGAGGCGACTTTTCGATCCGACGGCCTGCATGGAAAGTGCATTCGCATGGAGATCGGGAGCCTTCGCTGCGCATGCATGCAGAAAAGATTGGACTGTAAAACCCCTTCCGAGTTCCGAATCCTGGCAGGGCTTCACTTCACTAGTGAAGCCATTTTTTTTTGCTTCAGCTCCACGAACAGCTTCACCGGTGGAGCTGAAGCGGTTTTGGTAAACCGTTTGGCAAAATGGCTTCCCTGTGAGAGCATGTTTTTAGGGGCCTGGAGGAGGAGCCGGGAGAAGCCACTATTTTTGGCTCCTTCCCACCCCAAAGCTCTGTGAGAGCACGTTTTTAGGGGCTTCATCGGTGGAGCCATTTCATTTTACCCCGTTTGGCAGAAAACGGCTCCAAACGGCTCCTGAAGCCGCTGGAGAAGCCATGCCAAACGGGGCCTAATTTAGCTCACACTGCTCATTGCTCAAACGCTTTTCTTCGCAGAGGTTGAAGGTTCCCCTAATCTCCTTCGAGCAGACTACACATGCACCTTAATTACTTCTTCCCAATCTCCGAATATAATGTGTGTGCACTTCTGAATTTCTAATACATAATATTTAATATTACCAATTAGAGGCCTCTACTGCATTAACAGGGGACACGCAAATCAGGTTTCTGAAGGCAGACGACTCTCCCACTACTTATAGTCAATCGTCATTGTTGATAATGGCAATAGCAGAGGCGGGGACATTTGTCCACCTCTCAAAACCAAATAAAAACACAAAAAGCTCGCCGCTAGCCCGCCAAACCCATTGAGCTCGCCGAGATGCCAAGCGACAGCAGATCAATACTCTTTGATCCATTTATGTTTATAAGACGTATTAGGGTCGTTTGGTGTAGCTTCAGCCAACTCTTACTCCTCATGCATAGGTATTGTAATAACACTGTAGCATGGAGTTGTGTCATCTGGCCGAAATGAACTAGAGAAATGAGCAAAGTGGACAAACAACAAATTCTGGCTTCACCAACTCCAGCTCCGGCTCTTGTGGGCTACAATAGAGGTACCGGAGCAAGTGCCAGAGCCAACAGGAGCTACACCAAACGATGGGTTTGTCTTTTTCTAATACTTTCTACTTTGAAAAATGGAGGAAGTAATAGTGTTTTTTGATGAGTTTGAAAAAAAAAACGAGGCAGATGATGTCAAGCCTTCGTATGTGTGGGCATATAGAGCTCTGTGTCTTTACGGGCGCCGGCAGTTGCACGGCTGAATCTTAACATCTGTTCCATCATGCAATGCTATGTGGTCCAGTCCAAACATTGCATCACCAAGATCCAATAAATATGTCTCATACGTAGCCATCGATGGAATCAAGAAAGAAGCAGACATTATCCACTGTGCAAGCCTGGTGTGACGAGGAAAGAACAGGACACGCATCATGCCTCCACGTAAAGCTGTCTGCAACGAGAGATTTATTACGGAGACTAAACCAAAATAGGTCTCCAACATAATATCTATAACCTTCGACAAAATACCTACATAGAAGATCTATTTTAGGTGCCGAGAGAGACATAACCTAAATCTGAGTATCCTCTTTCCTGGAGACCTATTTTATAGAAATAGTTATTTTTTGGTCTTATTATTAGAGAAGAAAAAAAAATAGGTATTGACCTTTTGCCCGTAGCGTAAAAAAACCGAATGAGCGTCATTTTGAGTCACGGTCGCCGGAGACAGTCCGGAGGAAGAAAGTGCGTGGTCGAGAGGGGCCCCACCGGATCGATACACGTACAGTGGACGCCCTTAATTGGTCCGGGTTGGGTTTCGATCCGGTCCAGGTCCAGTCGAGGTCCACCAAAAAGAACTGTTTGGCCATACGCGTTCCCACCGTACGTGATTTCAACTCAGTGGACCCACTGTCCGACAGGAAGGACGAGGACACCCCACGTACTCGATCGCTGTCAAAGTTGCACGTCGCTCTTGCAGTCAGCCAGCTTGAATGAGCTTCTAGCCTTAACCTCGAATTTGTTTCAAGGTCAGACAAACATAGATATCAGTCCTTCAAATGGTGGAGCCTACAGTTAAGCTCGAGTTGGTAACAAACTCACCTCCACTGTCGCCCGAGCAAGGACAGCTGGACTTGCAAGGAAATAAACATCCACGCAAAGGCTAAGACGATAAAGCCGTGGTGGCAAAGCATTCAATAAGAAGAGACTATAGTATCCA